CGATCGAAGGAGAGCGAAGACTGGCTCGAATTCGTGCGCGGCGCGAGAAAAGGGAGCAAAACCGCGTCGCCGGGCCGCGCGATGCATATCTTATGCACGTGCCTCGAGAAAAAGAAACGGGGTGGCCGGTGGCCACCTCCACCCACCTCCAGCTTCGCCCCCGACGCCGCTACCAAATTATTTATTGGCCACGCTGCATCGAGAAATGCTAAATATTTCAAAGGGTCAAATGGCCTCCGCGATTTCTGCCAGTCGAGCGCGTGGGTAGGTAGATTCGGTGATTCACTCTCGCGGGATTTTTGCTTGAAGCGCCGAGGTTCCCTTTTAAACGGGAATGATGGTCGGACCTTGCGTCCGAGAAGGGAACGTCTTTTTTCTCTATCCGAACCTTATACGTTTCGTTGCATCTTTCATTTGTCAAGCACAAGTTCGAGGGAAAAGTGTTGCAAAGTCAGGCGTTTCGTCCAATTTCCACCGGAACGCAACAGTTGCGTAGATAATCGGTTGTCTATTCACCAGCGAAACATTGATCCGTAAGATCGGCCGTTCCATCGGGCCTGACAACTGAGCATTAAAGTCCCTTTCGCCGTTTAACCTGCTCGAAATTGTAGGAAAAACTCAGCTCCGCAAACTCCGCGATCCGTTTAATATGGTACTCGAGCTACTTTAGCCTTTGATGGAGGATCCCGAGCTCTCGCACATCCCACGCCTTCTGCCCCCGTTTCTCGCGTCTCTGGCTTCCCCGTTACGTAAACGCCACGGCGCGCCTTGGCGGGGCAGACGTAAACCGCGGCGCGGAAAGAAGCGGATTTTACGTGCAAAGGGCGACGTGTGCGTTTGCGTAGAGAGACGGAGAGAGAGGGAGGGGGAGAGAGAGACGGGTCGCGTCGTCCCCGTGCGTAATGGTACTTCCTGCTGTCAGTAGATTTTAATTACTCGGCCTGGGCCCGGTGTGTAACGCAGCTGCGCTCGAAAATTATACGAGCGAGTAATAAAAGCTTGGCTCTCTCTCGCGGGGGCTTCGGAAAGTGATTAAGCAATCGGCAGGTTTACTCTCGCGTTTCGCGGAGATGGAGGAAGAGAGAGAGAGGATGCACCGGAGTGCGTAGCGTGCGACTACCAGGAGGGAGGTCCTCTTTGATCAAGCTGGAATTCCTCGGCCGATCACTTTTGTAGGTAATATGCCCTGAAAAAGGAATGACACCCAATGCGCGCTGATTGGATTTGTGATTGGCCGGCTTCGGCTCGGTTCCTCCGCTGAAAAACTATAAAAACCCTCGGTTTTTTCGTGGCCCCACCTCTCGCCGACTTTAATTAAACTTCCACCGGCGCGCCGCGGCTCGGCCGCCCTCCCCACCGCTTCGCGCACGCTTTTCAACTTGTAACCCCTGTCTTACAACGTCGCGGAGCAAACGCAACATGAATCTTCGTCCGGCGCTGTCGTTTTAATACCCCGTGCACGTCCCGCGGAGGTCCCTCCGCTTCTTGCGTTCTCGCTGCCGGCTGACAATGAGTCGGAGCTCCGATAAGCGGCGAGGGATGCTCTCGACAACATTGTTACGTGGGAATGATCGAGTAGATTTTCAAGGGAAATTCGGAACGAGCTTTCGCGAACCTGCTGAGCTGTTCTCTATCGTTGACGATCGAATTCTGTACGTTGCAATTATCGTTATTATCACCATTCGTACGATAATAGCAGTGTCCGTTAATCCGTGTTCGTGCCGCGAATAGATTACCTCGAGGCAACGGGGACCAATGAGACGATATTGCGAGACATGGCCCCTGTCTCTTTCCTTAGACTCGCAACGCGTTAACCGGTATTGCGTAAGGAGCCCTGAATGATTGGAATCTGGGTCAGGGCGGATCTGTGAAAAAACAGTAATAGCTCTCGGTTACGTATCGATTCCTTTAGCCGCGATCCGAGTCGATCGATAAAGCCGAAACGATTTGCATATTCCGGCACGTCGCCATTATAATGCAAAGAGCCCTGCCACGTAGATACGATCGGATATGATAGAGACATCGTTGAATAGCACGATACGCGTATTATTCATGTTCCGCGAGTCCTGTGGCGTTCTTGACTCCGTTACAGATACCCAGCACACGGATGTACGCACCGAGAATGCACCGTGAACGTGCACTGTGAGAATCTCGGGTTGTTCTTTCTCCTATCGCAAGCTGCATTACAAAGTGCGCGGCGTTTCCCGAAGCGAGTCCCTTCGATTACCTTCGACTCTAGAATTCCTGCGGCAACCGTACACTCTTATGCGAGTTCCGATCGATTAAATATAGCATTCTACGGGAAATTTCATTCTAATCTTAATTGCCGCTGCTACGATTACGTTGCATCGCGAGATTATCGGCTCGAAGTGAAGACCACCAACGAACGAAATCAGCATCCGAGAAATTCACGCTGCAGCCTCTACGAATTATCAATTTCGCCGGTATTCCCCAGTCCCATTTTCTCCGTGCGTCGTTTTCAAATGAACCGCACGCGATACTCGTTTCACGGGCAATGGTACGCCCAATCGGCCCCGGAGAAATTCTATTTTCCACTTATTATCCTTTCATTATCGCGATACCTCCGCCGAGATAATAACGTTACCCGTTTCCGCCCTCGCCGGTCCCGAAGGTCCCACCGCGCGGAATAATCAATGAAAAGCGCGCGCGCGGCCGATGGGGGGGAAGTGTCGTTTCTGAGACGCGCGGCCTACAAGCCACTCGAAAATCTTTTTCAGTGTTGTTACAGCAAACATCTCTCGCGGGGCTCGTATTTGCCGATCTTAATTAGGGATAAAACGGGGGGTAAGGGTTGGAAGCTCGCTGGGGTCGCGAGAGTTGACAAGAATCGGCTTTTCGAACAGCCAGGCTTCGGGCGTCTTCGGTGGTTACCGACGCTCCTCGGTGGCTACTCTTAACTCGTGCTCGTGCTGGCCCGAGTCAGTCGTTGACGCGCGCTCGTTTCGTTTGCATCGGGTATCAAATGGTGCTCGAACCGGGGAACACTTCCAGTTCATCCCTGATGTGAAGAGGCTGTGTGCTTGACCTCCATCTCTCTTCCAAAACAATATAGAGCGCGACATGCGTACTATCACGAGGTAAGAATCGAGATTAACCTGCGTCCCGCGAGCCGCTCCGCTCCGAGTCGAGTCGAATCGAATCGACGGGGAAACCCTTCTTCGGCAACTATTCCCGATGTTCGATTTCCATCGGTGTTCGGCGTTTCCCTCGGCCTTTCCCTCCCGGTTTCCCTCGAATTCCTCGGCCGAAACGCACCGGAACGGCCCAGAATATTCCCTGGAATTTATAAACAGTTATCCCCGAGCCGCATTACGACTCCGAGCCAGTCGTTTCCTGTACATCCTCCAAATTCTCTTCCTCCGGTGTGTCTGCTTCGAGATAAGATATCGAACTCGTTCTTCTCGACGGTTCTCTGCGTGCTGTTTACACCACGAGCCTCGACGCGCCGAGTACCGTGGTCATCGATAACCGGTACTTTCGAATTGCTCGAATACGATCGCGATGCATGTAACAAGCGATTTCGAAGTACGAATGCTTAACGGCATCGATACCTGGAGAGTAACGCGACTCGAGCATCGCGATAGCGAATCATTAATAATCGGTTCCCCGTGCCACGAAGTGACGAACGCTCGAGATTTCCGTGGCAGCGGACACGTTAACTGCGCCTAGACCCGGTTTAATCCTCCGATGACACACCGACGAACGCTCAGCTTGATACTCGGTGCATTCGTCGCGGCGAGAGTCGAGGGAGTTTTATCCTGGCGAGCGGTCCGAGTATCGAAAATCCATAACGGGCCGGCTACATAACAAATCTCCGGGACTCGCTGCGAGCTTCAGCGAAATTTCATACGCCGGTAAATGCTCGATTCGCGGTCCATTCGGTCGCGATATCGACCGTTTCCGTTGGCCCGTTTCACGATACACACTCCCGTTTTTCATTTACTCCCATCCCCCCGGCCGTGCGTCGATTTTTTCTTAATTTGATCATCCTCGTGGGGGGGAAAGCAGAGAAAGCGATCGCGAACGTTTGCCGGGCACGATTGAATTTGTTGCATTCGGCAGTGTATTCTCTGTGCCGGGGCTCCGCGGTCAATATTGACTCTCGTTCGAGCCAAAGCCCATCGCAATAAATTATTGACTTGACGGAACCAGACGAGAGCATGAAAGTCCTGCAGTGATCTGCATTAACCGTACGACCTATCCGCCCCGTATACGACTCCGCTATTTGCCATAAGGCCCTGGAATTATGCGTGCCATAAATCACCTTTATGCCTGGATTATCGTCGCTGGGGGGACGCCGGAGATTCGCAGAGTACATCGATGGTTGCGAATCGACCGGCCCGAAAGGATAACTCCTCCGATCGGCTCGCGTTACGATGCCGCTTCATCTGTGGTCGGGCAGTAATTTAAAGAACTTCATTGGCTATGTACGAAAGCCCCGTACGCTCGCATGTTTCGCGTTTCAACGAGCAAACTAGGCAGGTAGATGCTCGACCGCGCGTTTCATTGAGAAGATTAACCTTCCGCTCTATGATTCGTTCCATAATTGAGCTTGTTAGAATTGCTCTGTCATTAATAATTCATCGGGAACGAAAAAGGATTCCACGCTTTACAGAGCAGAACTGTCGAGTAACTGGAATTATTGAAAATACAACGCGCAGATCGGCTTCTCTAAGAAGCCAATCGAAATTTCAATCGATGTAATAAAGTAACGATGTTCGATCCGACGAACAGAAAGATAATATTCAATTTGAGCTGAGAAGGATCGAGTTGCAAGTAGTTTGGTCAACTTCCGTTTTCCGATACGATATTACACGACAAGGGGTTAACGACGGATGATTGAATATCATTTTCGTTGCCCGTCGAGTCCTCCTTCGGCCCGTTTAAAGGGGTTCGAATGAAACTAGTTTACAACTTCATAGCTGTACGCGCATCTACCTCGTTGCACCGGATTATAAGTGGATCGATCAGATTACGGACACCTCGTGTATCGCTCGACGAAAGGCGCGATCCGTGTTCTCGATGATAATTCGCGATTTCCGATCGACGAGCGCGCTGGGATCCCGGGGCTGGCGATCCATGCACGCGCTGACAGGGAGATCAATTTCCGTAAAGTGTATCGTAATTCGACGCCTACCTCGCGGAGACGCGTGTTGCAAGTGCACTGTGCACTTTTCCGTCGGTCCGACGGCACTCGATACACGGGTCCGTGTTCGGTAGGGTCGCCCACGCAGTTGCACACACGCGTACGCGGCACGTACACGTACGTCCTCGGAACAGCACGCTCTCGTGCCCTGCTCATTCTTCTTCTGTGTGTTCGTCAGGCGATTTACGGTAAGGGCACCGTCTGCTTTGTGTGTTAGTCACCGACCACGGGGGGTGCCGGAGAGACTGGCAGGACTCTGTCAGAGGGGAGGCGAAAGCCAGAAAGAGAGAGCAAAAGAGAGCAAGAAAGAGAGAGAGAGAGCGAGAGAGAGAGAGGGAGAAAGGGGCAAGGAAAAAAACGAGAAAAACCCATAGAAAGAAAAGGTGGCAGGCAGACGCACACAGCCGCGCGGCGCGGAGCGCACAGCCCACGATCGAACGAACCCGCGTGTGTGTACTCGTGTTAAACAGGCTCGACGTGTTTACTTTTGCATACACGCCGCCCGCGTGTCAAGAGCATAACCATTCCTGTCGCGGATTATTACACCGTCGATAGAGTCTAGTCGGTCTCTCGCTCGTTTCCTCCCCGTGCCACCCTCTGTCTCTAGTTTGATTTCGCTCGAGGATTTTCTTCATTGATCGTCCGTTACCGCTGGTCCGTTAGCTCAATTGAATTCGAGGATATCGAGTTGGGAACAAGTTTCCTCGGGATTTCGTTCGGGGAAAACAAGAGCGTGCAGGGTATGGAATGTTGAATCCGTTGTAACATTCGATCGTTCGGAACGAATTGGATTGGAAACTGATTTCCAATTAGGCGACAGCGAACTAAGTGCTGGAATGAACGCATACGAAAAGAGAAAACCAGCGGATGACAAGAGTATATAGAACTGCGGAGTGTACTCGTCATTCCAGTTTATCGAGCCAATCGACTTTCAACGCGAGTTAGCCGCGGAAGAGTATCAAGGGTACAATCATTGGAACTGTAAACAAGGATGACCATCGCGAACGATCTAGCAGCGAGACGCTCGCATTGCCACCAACGTCGTCCGTAATTATCGTAACGTTAGGATCGCGCGTGTAATCTAGGCCACCTAATCTTTGAGTCCAGCGGAACATGCTCGACCTCGGGCCTCGCGTCCGCGGCCTCCCAGGATGTCTCTGGGTAACTGTAAAACTAGTAAAACTGGTGGGCAGGAATTGGCGTCGATACGCTAATACGCGCTGACGAGCCGCCCCGCGGCTTTTATTCGGCCTCCGAGATTTATTTGTCCGCCGCGGCCGTCGGGGGGACTCGGTGGAAGGACCTGCTTAAAAATAACACCGTCTCAGAGACGTCTTCGCGTCGCCTCGCGTCGCCTCGCGTCGCGTACACATAGGTACGTGTTTGCTCACGGCTGGCTACGACCATTTCCAGGCGGCAGGTCTATTTGTTCAGAGACCCTAGCAGAAGAGGACCGTGAAGGGAGCGTGGGGTGGCAGTTCGATTGGGACACGCGATATATTACGTGCTCGGCACGTACGTGCCGACTGCTTCGCACATAAGTAGACACAGGCATAAATAGCCAGCGCCGATGCGTGCGTGCATCGATGAGAGACGCTGCAACACCGAAGGCGTCGGGGAATCGCATAGGAAAGGGATAGCTGAAGATGATCGGCGCGTGAGCTACGCGAGCACGTTTTAGCGATTTCTGACGCGGGTTCTAATTCTTCTGTTTCTTCCGTCGCGACGCTTCCTGGTTCGGAGCAGTCGAAAGAGCCCCACTCGACCGACTATAAACGGCCTTTAGAGACGAGGCACACACCGATCCTACCCTTTGATTCTCGGAACCTCTCGTGTCCCGTTTGCCAATTCTTTCTCCCCGCGAGGGACGGAGAGAGAGAGAGAGAGAGGGAGAGAGGGAGAGAGAGGTTCTCGTTGAACGCGAACCTATTCTCCGGCTCGATTAGCATGAAGAAACGCGTCCGGTCTTGTTCGTGTGATGCAATTGCGAGCGTTGTTCCCTTTACACCAGCAATGTTTCCTCTTCTCCTGGTGCACGCTTCGAGCTGTCCCGACAGACGCGTCTTCGACAGTTCGAAGAGTCCTCGGCTACTCGATTCCTCGCGCTTTCTTTTTCCTCTTAATCGGACCACCGGTGATCCGACGGCAAAGGCCTTCTCCCCGAACGTACGCTAATATTCTCCGCGCGGAACGACGCGAGTAGCGTGGTCTGCTTCGGCCCGACGGATACGCCGCGATGAGAGAGAACGCACCCGAAGAAATGGTTTTTTCCGCAGTTACGGGTCTATAATCAAGAACTGGTTACCCTGCAACCGCAGAACACACTCCGACGTAAACCGAGGCGCAAAAAAGATGTTTCAATTTATCCTACGATGAAGCGATAATGAGCATACATTATACGGTCGACAGCGGCGAAGTCTGAGCGGATTTTTGCTGGCCACCGCGATTATCCCGAAAAAAATGTTATCCGTCGTCGACGTCCGGCTGCCTACGCGTAGATGGTTCCATGAAAAATTCCTGAGGATGTCCCCTATCCTCTGCGAAGCCGGCCCCTCGAGTGCCATCGAGGACTATGAATAAATCCGTCGAAGCCTTCGCAACCGCGCGCCGTGGATTCTTCGTTGATATTTGTCCACCGGGGGCCGCGCGGTTGACGGTGGAACGAATCCGGGAAATAACTCGGAGCCGCGCGTCTCGGAGCGGAAGCGGATCGAAGCGACAGCTGGGAGCATAAACGTTCGCCGAACGAATCGCAGATCCCCGCCGCAAGTTTTCTTCCAGATGTTCCCGGCGCGTTTCCCGTGGAATCGTGTCGAGCCGTAATTAGTGCCAATTAGTTCGCGGCGAAATAAACCACCGGCCGCGCGCTCGCGCGAGCATTGGGACAGCATGACGATGCAAATAGAGAAAAACCTCGTCCCGGCATGAAGC